TTATGCCTTAGTGGAATATGTCGGGCCATTTTTGAGATTTTACTATATTGTATTGGCTCATTTTGAAAGTGGATTGGGCATTATCATACACTAATAAGGAAGAAATGAGTGCTAAATTCTCATAAATCACATTGTCGACTAAAGCATACCAATTACCGAATACATTCTACGAGTACTATTTATTACTATAGATAGAATGCGCATAATCTATTCTTTATATCTATATAGTTGAACACCGTTCATGAATAATGATTCAACAGCCTTTAATAAGAGACAGATTTTTAGTTTATACAATTTGTTGATGGCAAAAAATGATAATGCGTGTCTTGATCAACTTAGATAAATTTGAATAATTGAATTCAAGCGTTATAATTCTGGAATTTTGCAATAGTACCGAGAAAATCTTAGTTTGAATCTCCCTCTCATTCAATCTCTGATTCCATGACAAATTTTTCAGTTTTCACTCGATAATCCTCCGTGTGAGGTTTCGTCCATATAATAGGAGTAATTGACCTAATTACATGGCTGTCGCTATACATATGTGGAAAGAGAATCAATTCCTACCAATTTGGTACAGCTAGCATATAAGGTATGTTTTCTAAATTGCTGGCTATCAATTAATTGCCCTTAATGAAAAATGATGCAAGTACTTCACAGCCCCCTGCCAGGTGAGAAAGAGGTGGGGATGGGCCCCACAATTTTTTTTTAACTACATGTGGGGCCCGACCCCAAACAGCGGTCCGCCCTTAATAGTTTGTACAACACATCCAATTGACAATCCCTTTATATAGGCAATAGACTTAGCTTGTTGCCTTAGTGACATCAAGCTACATTGATTCAACCGAAGGTTGTGTGTCACTATATATTCATTTGATGAAATTTGATTGGTTGGTGAATTCGACTAGTGCGGGTCATAATGACACCTAGGCTTTAGACATGGTCCGAAGTAATGATGTCATCCTTTTGAATGGTTGGTTTATGCCATGTTGTTTTTAGGGGGATCACTTCCTTCTTTATGTCACGATAATATTTAGGTACGACGTATATCATAGTTCAACTTCGGCTTCTATCGATGGGTATTGGTCGAGGTGCTGAGCTGACCTATCAAGACCTTTGACATACCGATTCTTTTGACCAAGTCAAGGGGACAGGTCTTATATGATATAACAAAAATAAATAAATAAATAAAAATAAAACCTGAATAGGAACTAAGCAAAGAAATAAAATTATGGACTTCTGAATGATGTATTTTACCTCGGGTTGGAAATATGTAACGAGTTCAGCTATGTCAGTTGGTAGCCAACCTCAGATTAAACCCTTTTCACCTTTATTGTCCTTATTTTATATGCAATGATGATATTTTGAATTTTTTAATGGAGTTTTAACTAGCTACGCATTTGCAGGTAAATCCAAGCTAATAGAGCTTAAAATATCATTAAGCATGTAACGGGTTATTAATTAGGATACGTCCAAAGCAAATAATTGAGGAGAGTTCCCACAAATTACACTTTAGCCTTATGCTTGGATGGACTGGTATAAATAGAGCAACAGATTATTATCATAAGTTCTCAATTTGAACTTCACAAGAAAACCATAAAAACTACTGCAGTAATGGCTGGGTGCGACACAAATAAAACTACCATAGCCTCGAACACCACCAAGAGGTCACAGCAAACAAAATCTAGAGCAACGCGTAGATTTGTTGGCGTGAGGCAAAGGCCTTCGGGGAGATGGGTGGCTGAGATCAAGGACTCGACTCAATGCGTAAGATTGTGGCTTGGAACTTATGATACCCCTGAAGAAGCTGCCCGTGCCTATGATGAAGCAGCTCGTGCCTTACGTGGAGAAAATGCACGAACAAACTTTGCTGCTGTAACTACAAACCATGTTATTTCATCCGAATCAAATGGGAATGGAGCGATATCTGAATCCGACACCAGGCATGGACTGAGTTTTTCTTCCTTGAAAGCTAAGTTGAGCAAGAATTTGCAGAGTATCATGGCCAGGAACTCGGAGAATAAGGTAACCAAGAGTAGAGTAAGCGATCACTTCACTTTTGCTAGTATCTTTCATTTCCGAGGCTATAATCAATATAATCAAAATCCTGCTGATATAAAGAAAATAGAGAAGGCGGTGCAACCAAGCGTCATTGTGCCTCATGTTTCCGATGAGCCCTCTTCGTGGGAGAGTTCGAGCGTCTCGGATTACAGCAACGAATGGGCTAGTTTCTGGCACCATGGAATGGACTCGGATGGATCGGATATGAATGAAGTTTATAATTTTGACGAACTAGGGTTCGGAGATCAAAATATGGGCTGGATTAGTAGTCCAGATGTGATGAGTACTAATGGGAGCGATGAGTCACGAAGCAAAAGGTTTAAGGTTTCTTCCTCAGTCGTCGTTCCACCAACATTTGGCGAATCTCCTGTCCATGGTCATTGGTGAAAACTGCTAGCGGATCGGCATACGGTGAAACAAAAACTGTTCTATTGTAGCCTTCTGTTTAATCCCTGTTCTAGGACTGCAGATGCTTGAAGTGCAAAATGCTTTCTACCAAAGGGTGAAAAGCCAATGCATACTTGTACCTTTCAACTTCTTGAAATTATGTACAGTGAGAGGGGGGGGGTGGGGAAGAGTTCAGCTCAATCAATAAAAGTTTAATAGTTGTTTGCTTTACATGCAATTCCATGATAGATCATTCTTCGTTCAGGTTTGGTTGTGTCATTATTCTATTTTCGAATTAGGCTTAACTAATTGAGTTGCTAATATCCACGCCAAATCTTGTTGGGATTATACTTCTGCTCAAATTGATCATAGAAGACGACCAAAATCTATGTTGTGATAGTAATTAGCACATAATTTTCCAATAAAAATGTTGGGCGCGAAAGCTCCGATACCACTTGTTGATCTCAAATCGAATTGTAAAAAATGAAATTTAATGACAATAGTGAAGTAAACAAGATCAAACCACGAAAAAAAAAGATTTAATTGAAGCCTACAATTATTTCAACAAAAAAATTTGGGTCACCCTAAAATTCTAACAAAAAATGAATTAGAATTTTGGCTTATTCTAAATTCTGTTCCAATCAGGAAACAACAGCAGGTTGAATATTCAAAATGACTAACTGTTCATATACCAGAGAAAGTAACCCCAGTGCTTGAACAGACAAAACAATTGGAATTCTGCATTCAGACAACATAGTTTATACTATAATTCTTTCTAAGCATACTTATTCATCAAGTAGGTAGTTTTGATGTGTAATATCACTTGTATGTCGGTGAAGCACAATGCAATTGGACATTTCATCACCAGAATAATAATGCTGATTTCATCAACATTGATTGAAATCCTAAGTTGGACATGAATGTATACACTATGTCCCTATTTGATAAACATTATTTGAAATTTTTTTTTTTTTACGTGTTCATTTTCAGTCATACGTTCACACAATAAAATATTCTACACATAACAAAATTTAACTTTTCTGTACCCTAAAAATTATTATTCAAAACTTTGATTTTCCCAAATAATGATTGTCAAATAGGGACTATATACACTCCATATATATCTAACACGTGCTATAGGAGCAGTGTGTGGAGTGGTGTCAAACAGACGAGACCGGTGGCTTAAAGAAATGCCCATGACATCCCGGGTTTTGTGGTGGGTCGA